AGGGCTCATAATGGCCTAGACATTTCAGCTGCAATGTCTTAAGAAATTGCTAAAGCAATAACAATCTGACAGTTTAAAACCCTACAGCTGACTTCTGCAACCCAAATTGTCCACAGCCATGTCTCCATCAGGTCTGATGCTCTGGCTGATGGCTTCTGGACCAGTGGTCAATGGATTCCAGGCACTACTCTTCACAGGCTTAGAAGTAATTCCAAATTCATGGAAGGTGTCTTAATATTTGCGTAGACAACAGCCCATATGGACTCTGCAGCTGTAGTTGACTTTGGCTGTTCATTCCTCAACTTGCACTTCACCATGAATATTTGTTTGAAGAACCGTGTCTGAGTAAATACCTGTGTGGACAAATCCATGGACCCTTTTCCAGCTTTCCTCAGAATAAAAAAAAAAATAGAACAAACAGAAGTTAAGGATTGATACTGCAATGTTCTTGGAGTTCCTGCGCAGGCTCACAGGGATGTTTTTGGAGTTCCTGCGCAGGCTCATGGGAATGCTGCAGTGGCCTCCATGGCGTAACATCCAGAAGCACTGATCGGGGTATTCTGGCACTGTCAAAATCACACTTTGCCAAGCCTCTCCAGCTATCCCAGAGACAGAAGGATCCATGTGGAGACTTAGAGAGTGTGGTGTTCCTTCTGCTGCATTTCATGAGCAGACAGGACAGTGGCAAGAGCTGCCGATGTGTGTACCATGACTGGCCCCTGACTTCTGCCTGGACAACACTGCATCTGATGAGCTCCCTGGAATCTTAGATATCCTCTGCTCATCTAAAAAACTGAACTAATGAGAGATACTGTTTGAAGTGAAGGAAACTGAAGGGGCAGGTGAAAATGCATACACTGAATAAAAATACTACAGCCACTCATTTTCCATGGGTTATTTTCTGTCTAACTTCCTGTGTAACATGAAATTCTAAATCAAAGACCTTTAGAGGAAAGACTACGCACAGGGAAGCAGGGAGAGTCTTCTGCATTTAGTGAATGTGTTATCCACTTTTCATTGACTATTCAGTTCCGTCAGGTAGGTACTTTCATTTTCACCTCCCACATAAGAAAAATAAGTCCACTTGGAGGTTATCAGATGTCCAAATTGACCACTTGTGTTGTAGGTTAAAGGTCCTGAATTTGAGCCTAAAGTACACCAAGGAACAAAACATTCAATTTTCAGTCAGGTGATTTTTGTTGAAACAGCAACAGTAGAACCGTTGGGTCCTCTCTGTGTACAAACCCTGTGCTGCCTGAGCAATTCCAATAGGAGCTTGTATCTGTAACAAAAGTATTTCCATTTCCCATGTCCGTAGACTGAAGCTACCAGGCCTATTGTAGTTCACACAAGGAATAGCGCTGTCAGAATTTGGTCTCTGGCAACCTAGCTGCAAAAACTTTGCTCCTGCTTATGTGTGAGATCACTTAGGGCTAGGTTAATATCCTCTGTATTTGACCATGACACTTCTCTACTGCAGACCTCAGCATATTAATTGCTGAGATGAGGAAGTCATTTAGATAAACTATAAAATCATTTCCATGAGCATGATGCACGGATTGAATGAATGCTCTCATGAAAGTCTCCAAAGACCAACCCCTTCATTCAGGCCAGTGGCTGCTCCTGATGAATTCAGTGAGTTTGTAGACAGCAGAGACCACAAGCCTCTTCCCTTTTCCCTGTGCTGTTGACACAGAACTAAGTTTCTTGGCTCCCAGAGACAAGCATTGTCTTTACTGCAGGGGTTTTCTGTTTTCTGCCCTGTTCCTCGTTTTTCTTATAACTTCCTTGTCAATGTTGAGCTTTCATTCAATGTAGGCAAAGTCAAAATATAAGTAGCAAAGAGGGGGTTATGGCAGAGGCCAGAGAGTCACCAGGCAAGGCCTCATTTCAAATTTAGTATAAATGAAATCTGTTCATTATGCTTAGGTCTTTATCTTCATTAAAAGACTGACCCAACAGAACTTCAGTCTAAAAATTTAAAGTTTACCTACTGCATCTTCAGAAAAAGAGTATCTCCTGAGGATTTCATTTCATTCTACCTTTATAGAAATTTAACCCACAATATTTAATCAAATGGTGCAAGGAGAGCCCAGTCATTCAATGTAGCAAGAGAGGATTCTCAGTGAAGCAGCCCTGCATCTGTAAGAAAGAATACATGTCCTCACTGTGCCTTTCATTTCTATTTGTAGCATAGACCCTTTGAGGATAGGAATAAAATTTGACTGTTCTACAAAATGCTCACTCTCATTCATTTTAACATGAAATCTTAGCAACTCATGAGCTTATCCACAGCAACAAAGCAAGCCAAATCACATTGTCTCCTAGACTTCAATTCTTTTTTTTTTTGCGTCCTTATAACCACTCTTTCTTTCCTAATTTTCCTTATTTATTTTTCTCCCACTGATGTAGAATAATAGCATCACAGACATGAAATGACAAAAAGCCTGCTGGATCTTCCCCTTGTCAGATCCAAGTGACCAGTCACCACTGACACGTGTGTGTGTGTGTGTGTGTGTGTGTGTGTGTGTGTTATACAACATGTATCTGGGAATGCACACATGCTGGGGTCACAGGGGGGACTTCTGTGTCCTGCATTCTCTCTCTCTCTCTCTCTCTCTCTCTCTCTCTCTCTCTCTCTCTC